ATCTACATATCTACATGTGCCGATGTTTCCGTTTATCAACTTTATATTTTAGGATCTGTGCAAGAACTCAGCGAACAGATGTTTCCGCATATAAAAGCTATCTTCAAGTGATTATTCTCACATGAGATTTGAATAATCAAAAATGGTAATAATCAGAAACACTAATTTTGATTTGTTTAACAACCTTGAATCAATCAAATATAATAATAATAAATCATACTATAATTATTTTGATTTCTTGGATAGTTTAAATAAGTTAGTTTATTCTTTTTGTAAAATTTGATAATTAATTATAATTGTGATTAATCAATTATTCTACTTGACACTAATCAATGTAATCAATGATCACAGGAAATCAATTATATTGATTAATCCAGTTAATCACCCAGTTCTAATGATGATTACTTCTCACCACACAGAACACTTACAAAAATAGAATACATATACAAATAACAAAATAAAGTATGCATATTATACAGCAATAAACCTCTCAGATCAATCCCTGCTCAATGTGTCTCATGGATGAATTCTTTTTTTCCATTTTTAATCAGGTTTTCAACAAAATAAAACATTCAGTTTTTCACAAAGATCAAATGTTATTTTGTGCCATATGTGTAAATGAAAATGCTTAAATTTCATCTTGAATATTATTTGAAATATTTAAGCAAAAATGCAAAGACATTTAAATAATTAGAGAATAATTCAACTATATAAAAAATCTCATGAATAAAACATGTACTTAAAGCATACACAAAATACATTCAGGCAGTATGTATATAGTGAGTGAAAATGCTTAAAGTAATATTTAAATTTGCTTTACATATCAAATGTATAAAAATATGCGAATCAGCAGCATAATATATATAAACATATTAAAAACATTAATAATAAAAGAAGTTCCATAACACTTGTATAAATGGTTACAAAAATATCACCATTTTTAACACCACAAATATATATTTAAGTTGTATAAAATAAATTCATGTTTGTTTTGAATCCATATTCTTTTAAACATTTACTTACTATTAAATTAAAACAAAAATGTTTTATTGGTGAACTTAAAAGTTCTGATATGTGCAAAAAAAACACTAAGTGCCTGTAAAAACAATGCTGGATTTTATTCTTCATAAAATACTTAAATTATCACTCACAAGAAGTTTAAAACAAATGTAAATAGAATAAAACGTGAAAAACTACCTGTGGCTATGAAGAAGTCGTATCAAGGCCTTAGTTATAACGTTTATCTCATTTCTGGGAGCTAGATAGTAGTATAACTGAGCAACAGCCATAACTACCTAAATAAAAACTTAGTTTTAGTTTTATAGCTATAAAGCAACTGGTTTCAAATTCAAAATATTAGTTAAGTGCTGAATATATTTTTAACCAGTTAAGAATTCCATTTTTTCTTTATTTTATTATTATATCTGCAGATCTAGAAACACCTTTACTTGTGTTATATTGTTTCCTTTACAAATTTGACAAATCACAAATAAATCTGCAAAATGTCACAAACTCTTTTCTCACTAAGACTCCAGATGTAAATACTAAACCAAACATTTAATGAAATCAGTAATAACTGAATTATTCTGTAAAACCAAATTAAATAAATGTTTGAGAGTCTATGAATAACCATAACTTAAGTGTTGAAAACATAAACACAGCTTATACTTGGAATAAGTCACATACCAAAAAAGCTCAGTTATGTAAAATAAATAGTAAAGATAATGCTTTAAATCAGCACTAACTCCACAAGGGTGTCATATGCCATCATATGTTTTAATCCTTTCCATACAGGTAGAGGTCAGACATCTCATTTTATAGACTTCATTCAAAATTTAATTAAACTACTATTTTATAAATATATGTCCACAAATTTGAAATTTAGTTTGTAATTCAAATTTTAGTATTATATATTACTTAATTTCTTAGTTCAAAGTTAATATAAAAAACATTGCTAAATACAGATTTTTGTGTGTGTTGCATGGTACTTCATCTTCTGCTCAGATTGTTTGATATTTATTTAGGAGGTTATAGAGATTATGCAAATAAAACTTGAAAATTTTCAGATGAAGAAAAGTACTTTTAATCTTAAAATCAAAATTACTTTGCATGTTTGATAGTCAACTTTCCAAAAAAAAAACATCACAGAGAAATCTTTATTTAAAACCTGATATCTTGTGTACAAAAGCCTTATAATGTTCACTGAAAGTCTTGAAAATTTCATGAAGATATGCATACATTATCAAAAGTTATAGTACAATTAAGCTCATGGTTACTCTGGTGATTACATAGTAGGTGCAATGCACCTAGCCCATTAGTCAGATTTAAACGATTACTAGTCATACTTTTTAATCTCTTTTTCCAGATGATTCAAATTGGACAACTCTGTGTTATGTAAAAAGAAATCATCACTAGCTCTACTACTGTTCGATCACTTTAATGTTTGTACTAGTAAATTAAATTGACACACCAAAATAATTGATTCATTTCACAAAACTTACAACTGACCTGAAAAATCAATCCTTTGAGAACATCAAAAGAATGGCAGGATATACAATGTAACTTTTTAGACCTCAGGCATGTAATTTGTAATGTTTTACTATATTTGTGACAGTATAAAACAGTATGTTCTTATGTCTAGTGCAAAAACAGTGTAAAATCGAAGCAAATATTTCATTATTCAATATGTGAAATACTCAATATTCAATTTTCTTCAAAATGTGAAATTATAGCAAATGTCATCATTTTCCTAAACTGAAAATGTATTTCCAAACATACTTACCTCTGCTGATACTAATAGCTATTTCTCGATCTTCATCTTTGCCATCTAACGTTGTGCTCGCTTGCTCCAGTTTTTATATACCCCACTCAACTGCCCTCGGCAATATCTAATTTGCAAAACTTTACACTGGCCCTCATATGCCCTCTATGCAGGTACTGTATATAAGCACTGTATGCAGACAATATAATCACTTTTTTGCAACTTACCTCATTCTGGTCACTAACACTGGCTCTTAGTGGGGAGAAAAGGAGGGAGAGTGTCAGCGAAGGTAAGTTTGTTTGGAAATACATTTTCAGTTTAGGAAAATGATAACTTCTAAAACATACATACCTATGCTGACAAAGCAGAAGGACCAGCCAGGACAGAGATCATACAGAAATCATCTGCATAGAACAAATATGTACCACAAGAAGTGGTATGAAAATGGGGAACACCACATTACATCCAGAACAGGTATGCTCTTCACCCAGAACTACAAAAAATTGAAAAGGGTGGAATATGATATAAATATAATGGTTCGGCCTCGACCAAACAGCTGAGGAACCACAACTCGGATTGAATTTAAGGGGTTATGGTACCCATATCCTACAGTGGTGGACTGCAAATATAGATATCTTTGTGATAGGAACCCTACCAGTAATCACAGAATGATGCATTTCAAATCACCAGATTTATGAAAGAAAGAAAGCAACACCAAAGTGGACAATCCTTCTGATCAACCTGAAGAAGTCCAAAAGGCAAAATCCCAGGTCTGGATTGACAAGATCATATGCCATACTCCAACAAAGTCCAAAACTCATCCAATCTGGATTTACAAACAGTTGTCTTTACTCCCTCACCAAGTGGGCAAGGAGAATTCCACTTACCCATGGAATAATGGAGAGGATGTGGAACACTGTCCCACCAAGGACCAAAGATGGGACTGCGTCGAGTTCGGATTTACGAGAAGATAGTGGACCCCTGCATAAGACAACATAAGACCTGACAGTGTTCATAAAAGGGTCCAAGCAACTCCCCACTGGATAGCTAAGCATAAAATCTAGACTGGTTTTATGAGTAGGCTCCCATGTAGGTTGTTCCTACTCCTAGAGACATCTGGGAAAAAAACTTCCAGGGACCCAGGTAGGAGGGTCCCAACTTCACCCTCTTCTCCAAGAGTAGAGAAAACTCAACACTCCAAAGGAAAACCCTCTGTCCACCACCCCAGCACCTGGGTGTGGTAAGGACTCCCGAGCTCCACTGGTAGAAGTAAGGGGAGAACATAAGCATTGGGGAGTCCAGAGGAACAGGTCTCCGGAAACAGTGCAACAGGTGAACCACCTCCCCTAATTTTTAAAAGCAAACTGATCTCAACTACTGATTCAGCTCTAAGATCAGCAGGGACTGGTAAAATCCCCTTTAGCTTTACTCATGATAGTACATGAGTAGCAGGCCATTAGAAATGTTGTAATAAGATATCACCATCAAGAATTGCATGCAGATGGTTTAATGGAAAACTTTGTCTCGACAGAACCCATTGCAACCAGGAACCGATATAAAGGTTGCTAGTGCAGAAATTAAATACAAACACACTGAACTTGGCAACACTCGGCACTGAGTGGAAATCAATAGGGACCCTAGAATAAAAAAGTACAATAACTGTAAGTAAGATAACACGTTACATACCTCCCTGTTAAAAACTAGTAGAGGTAATCATCACAGCCACAGGAGGAAGATGAAATCCCATCAAAGAGGAATATGAACGTGTTGGGAGATATCCACATACCGGCCCGCAAATTAGCTTCTAAAGAACATTTCAACCAGGCAGCCAAAATCATCGATAGGTGTCAAATCTGGTGAGAGGTGATGTGCAGCATATTGCAATCATTAACAGATAAGCCCTAAGAGGCAATATGGATCAACTTCTGAAGCCATCTGGTTAAAGTAACAAGTGATAAATCCTTGGACACTGCAGGATCCCAATGAATAAAAAGTCTGTTACTAGGGGCTCGAAATGGTTCCGTATGAGCCACAAAACGTCTGAGCACCCTGACAGGACATAACAAACAATCAGGGCCTGATCTACTGTAAAGATGAGAAATTCCAGGTAAATGAATAGGCAGCGAGAGTTTTTGGAATAAATGATCGGTTGGGATAAAGCAAAACATAGGAAGAATGATAGAGAGTCCACTAAACATGAATGGCAAATAAATCAGAATGACGGTGTCTGCAAGCTAACAGCAATAAAAAATAAACCGTGAGGTAAAGGTGATATAATGAACAGGAGGCCATGGGTTCAAAGGGATGACATGATAAAGTATGTAAAACAACCCTAAAGTCCCAATTAAGCAGAAGGTGGCTGATCAGATGAGTCCTAAGGAGAGGAAGCTCTAGTGAAAGAAAGAGCAGGAAACAGGGAGTCTAAATTCTCCCCACAATATCCCATTTCAGAATGAAGAGTCAAATCAGCACCTCCCGGAGAGACCCCCAGGCCTCATGAAGGACTTCATCTCACCCCCATTCAGGTCACGGACAGCTTCCACAGAGAGTGGCTAACACCCCACTCCCCAACTGCTAACCACCACTAGATAACATAACAAAGGAGGAATGGACAAAGGCTGAGTAGCCTCCACGGGAATTCGTATCCATTTTTTTTAATACATTTGGAGCCAAAAACAAAATCAGCAAAATATATCTCTGGATAACAAAACAAAGAATTCACAGTTGTTAGAAAGCAAAAACTAAGAAAATGTAAATCACAAAACATTAGTCTGAATGCTTGCACTTTGTTGAAAAAAAGTGATTTTATTGTCTGCATACAATGCTTATATACAGTACCTGCATAGAGAGCATGTGAGGGCTGGCGTAAAGTTTTGCAAATTAGATACTGCCGAGGGCAGTCGAGTGGGGTATATAAAGATTGGAGCAAGCAAACACAACATTAGATGGCAAAAATGAAGATCAAGAAATAGCTATTAGTGTCAGCAGAGGTAGTATGTTTTGGAATTAATAATCAAAGAAAAGTGTTTAAACAATTTTGTACTGCAAAATATTTGCAAATTTTACTTTTGCTGACAAATGCTAATAACTATTATGCAATTTACACAATCTTTTTGCCACACAAAACACAAATTAATACTTGAGTTGCTACAACCTACTGGGTTATAATATTAAGTGAAACTACCTGATAGTTACAGCTCACAACGGACAAGGTGTAGTTGAAATGCCATTTTATAAGTATTGCAATAAAAGAAATAAATTTTCTTAATACCAATAGGAACACTTTGATTTATTTTAAAAAATACATTTAATACAACCACACTTACTGCAGCATTTCGGCTTTGAAGTAAAGGTTTACTATTCCTTAATAACATTCTATGGTCTGGATCCATCACATAAAGTTTCTGTCTGTTTTCCTGGTCCTTTTCTTCTGACTCATCAGATTCATAAAAAGATTTCTCTTCACCATCTTCAAGTGAATTCTAAATTACATAATGGGCATCTTAGATTAAATCATATCCTTAAAATTGCAAATGTATGTTAAAAAACTCAAGAAGAAAAATAAGATTGAATCATACCCTTGATATTACAAATGTATGTCACAACAAACTTAAGAATTAAAATTAAGTAATACCCTTAAAGTCACAACTGTTTGTTACACCAAACTTAAGAAAAAATTTAATTAAATAATACCCTTAAAATCACAAACATATATTACAACAAACTTATAAAAAATTAACTAATTAACAATAAATAATACATTTAAAATTGAAATGCCATACTTAGCACATGATCAAAGGTTCTCACATGTTTATTTGGATCTATAAACTGGGTTCTTGCATAACGGGTCAACATCTGTATGATGACCAGTTGACCCCATTCTTCCACATCCACCACAACATTACACAACTTCCGGTAGTTCTTATGAACAAGGTCAATACGTTCAGGACAAACTTCCTCAAAAGCCATTACTGCACTACCCACCACTAACTGTTCAGCAATGAAATAAATAAAACAAAAAAATATATGTCAACACTACTGTAGTTGAAATGTCTCAAATTTAGGTAAGAATAAATAATTCATACTCTCTTTTCTTTTGTAAAAAAATAATTATCTTAATAACTTTTATATTCAAATAATTTCAAATATAGTGTACTTAAATATACTTTAAATTATGCCAAATGCTGAATTTAACTAAAAAATTCATCTGTTTCAAATTTTAAACAATCTTTAGTTATGTATTAAAATTTGAAATTATGTTTATGTATATTTAATTAGTCAAAATATTTGAATTACAGAAACATTATTCCTTCTAGCAAAATAGAAAAGTAAACTTACAGTTGTTTTGTCAGATAAAAGCTTTTCGATAACCTCAATAAGATGTTCTTTTTGTTCTGGATCCAAACTGTAAATATAAACACCAGATTCACTTTTTAAAAACACTACCAATGAATAATTTATACTAATCAAATATGAACCTTATATTTCTTAATTTAGCATATTCCAAGAATCTATAGTGTAGTGAAACGACTTAAACTTAAATAATAACTAATAATTCCTCAAATATCCCATTTTGTTACCTTTAAACACATATTGCAAAATTCTAATAGCTACAAGTTTTTACCTTTAAAGATGTCTTGTAACTTTCTAATAGATGTGAATTTTTTACCTTAAGTACATCTTGTAACTCTCAAATAGATGTGAATTTTTTACCTTTAAACACATCTTGTAACTTTCTAATAGATGTGAATTTTTACCTTTAAACACATCGTGTAAATTTCTAATAGATTAAGCACACAACATATTGACTAGAAAATGGGCAAATACTACACAGAAATATTTATATATAAGATGCAAGTACATATACAGATATACAGCTAAACATGAATGTAATAAACACTATAAATCTTAAAACACTAAACACTGAACTCACAAAAAAAAACAATTTTTAAAACATCTTGCAAGGTAAGTAATTAACTTCTTTCTTATATGCCTCCCAGGTGGAGTTATCAAAATTTTGATGTACCAGAAGAATTTTTTTGGGTCACAAAAAAAAAATTGTCTCCCCTCAAAAAATAAAAAAAATTATGAGCATTGATTTATTGTTAAGCTCGTTTTTTCTCTTCACATACATGAGTATTAACAACAAATGCCTTACATTATCATCTATTTT